TTTTTCTTTATTTACTTTATGATTAACGATTTGTTGGTCTAACTTCATAATTTCATAACTATACTTAAAATCAATATGTATCTAATAACTTTTGTAGTGATATATATAACTTTAGTCTAAAGACGAAAGACGTCATTTCATTCAAAAAATCGCTTTTTATTAACGTTGTTTGTTAACCAGCCCTAACAAGAAAACCTCAAAAAATTACACAATTCTTTAGCATACTAAGTAAAAACCGCCAATTATCAGGTATCGTTTAGAAATCGTTTGAAATTCGAATGCGTATATTTCCGGAAAGCGTTAAGTGATAAGTAATGAAATTATATCATTGTTTAAACAATAAATATTATCAGAGGCGTGCCTTTACAATTAAAATTACAACATATATATCAGCTATTATTAGCATTAATTTCTAATAATAATCCTGTCTAAATTCACCCAGAGCATCAAAATGAAAGTTTCATATTAAATAGAAAAGAAGCCTTGAATTAAACTTTAAAATTAAAGAGGAAATAAATTTTAAAATTAAATAAAAGATAAATTTTTAAAATTAATAAATAAATACCATTTTAATATTGAAATAAGAATATTTCTGTGAAAAATTAAACTATATGTATATGTACTTCTTTTTTATTTAACTAATTATAGAAATGTAGATAACTTTAGGTGTTTTAATTGGTGGTGTCTCTTGACAAGCACCTTAAAAACATTTTTAGAGTTTTATGTAAATTTTAATGTAGTAAAAATAAATATCATTATCAGTTTTTGCCCGTCGTACTGGTATTAGATTTTAGAGCTATTCGATTTTTTATTAATTATGTTAATTATTTTATTAAATATGTATTTATAATTTATTTCTATTTCTGCCCTTGATGGTGACAGCAAATTACCTAATAATTATTATGTGTTTTGTTAAATATCATGTTTATTCTTTTATATATATATATTTTTTTTTAACATCAGAACGTTATTAATGAAAGCTATTGAAGTGAAATAAGCACACTTTTTTTTATCAGACTAGAAAAAAATCATTTCAAGAAGCTTTTTTTTCACGGAATAATCATAAAAAACTAAAACATCATTATTAATTCTTTCGGCACATTTAAAAAAAATTATATTATATATGTTGAGATTAGTTTTCATTCATCATAAATTAATGGCTCTTTTCTGCTACCTGTGATAAAAGTTATAATTATGTATTTAATTTTTAAAAAAATATATTAAAATGAATATATAGAATTTTTCAGATCCAGCAAAAACGTATTTTAATCCAGTTTTAACTTAATAATTATTGAATATGAAATGAATGATTCGCTGTAATGAAAACAAAAATGGCAAGCAATAATTTATAATGTGATTGCAAAAATAAAATTATTAAACTATTTATTTGTTTTTTTAATATTATACGACTTAAGCTCACTGTTATGAATCAACGAATACCAAAAGTAATAGATAAACTTCTTCCAACTTGATCTTTGGAATAAGTTGAATGAAACCTACAAAGGCACAGTCCCTTGAATGATAGCCTACCTTTGAATAAGACCTTTTCAGCCCTTTCTCGTGTTCTTTCAGGGCTTGAAAAAAATTGATGGTCTTTTCTTACTTTTATAAGTATAAAAAATGAAATCTACTTTCGGTCCATCCATCGAGTTACTTTGCCAACTTTTCTTTTGGAATATCCACGTCACAATAAATTAATCCTTCCTATCCCATGCAAAAAAAAACTAATTTGGAACAAGGCAGGATTGCATTTCACTTAAAATAAAAAATACTCTTTTCAAGTCTATCTGATCCCTACTCTAGCCGATTGACGTGCCAAATGTACCCATAGTGTTTTAAGAAGACGCAGGTAAACATCATCTTGTGTTCATTGCCTGCTGGAGAAAGTCAATGTTTGATGAAATTATTGCCAAACAACGAGTAGTCAGTCAGTATTATTAGGATTAAAATTTTTAAATTTACTTGTATTTAATAAGGTGTGGGCTAATATATATAGTGTTTTGAGCAGTTATATATTTTTAGTTTTTATTTGTATGGTTTTAATGATGGTTCTTAGTTGAGCTCATCTGGTAAAAACACGAAGCTGAGGCAAATCAAGATTCCAACCTCACCTTCACGCCAGTCCAAAAACGGAATCTGTTTTTACGTCAACTGGTTTTATTCTGTTTTTGGAATGGAAACGAGGTGTAACGAGAAATAGGGTTGTTCTGTTCAATTGAAGATAAGCACCAACACTTGAATATAAGCACCAAATTGAAACTATTTTGTATTATCTTAACAAAAAAAAAAAAGCAATATGTAGAAATATTAAGAAGTTATTTGCAGTTCTCTAAAATTAAAAAATAAATTAAATTTTTAAAAATATTTTTAAACTTTATTTTTCAACTCAAACCTGTCATAAGTACCGACAACAAGCGAGTGATCTGTCAGGAAGTATAAGTGGAGTATGTCATCGGTATACGTGTAGGAGAGGAGTGCTCAGCGGCATCTCTTTCTATCTTGATTTAAATATTTATAGTTAATGGAGGGGATCCCTCATCAGCTTCTTTTGAGCCTCCTACTGGTGTTGTCGGGCATGTTGGTTGTGATCTTGAATCAGTGAGTCATTATGTCCGTGTAAGGTATTTACGTAAAGTAATGTTGCTGACGTATCAAGAAGCTTTGGTTATAGTGATTGGAGTTTTTTATTTTAAAAAATTGTATTTTACGTATGTAGGTCTTTTTTTGGCTGTCCCATATAACTTTAGAGCATTGGTCCTAATGTACGTAACTAAGTATATGTATTCTATTTTTGTCCATGTTTTTAGAGTTTTTGTTTTGTTCTTGATTGGTGGAAATCATGTTATTATTTTATCAAGTGTCAGTCGAAGATACTGAACTTTATCTTTATCAGGAATGCGGATACTGTCAAGATAAATAGAATGCCTAAGCTTCACATCGAAGAGTAAATTTTCCAGAGTTTGCACCTGTCGTGAAATTTCATTAGGTGATGTTGTAGTCTGGAAGGAGTGTACTGGATTTTCATGTCTTGTTAAGGTTATTTTATCGCATGCGTAAGTGGTGGTAACAGTTTCGAAACCATGTGGAATATCGTGTGCATACATAATATTTAATAGAGGAGTGAGTATAGATCCCAGAGGTATTCCTGCTAAGGCTGGTTTAGCAGTTGAAAATTCTGAACGTTAGAAAGTTATACATTTAATATTCAAGATTTTTTAGACCAAAAATAAATGAGAATTGTTGAATTAAATCATTAAGAAAAATACTGAAACGATAATCGATGAGAAACATATTTACTGAATATCTTATTTTTGTGTGGAAATAATGTTTCCATTTTTTAGCGGTTCTCATATGCAGGCAAAGAAGTACATCAAGTATCAGAATTTCCTTTTTCAGTCGGAAGTCTATGTATATTTAAACATATTTTTCTATAAAATATTTAATCAAAAGTAATCAATTGATTTTTCAATAAAAATCTATAAATTCATTGAAAAAAGTATAATCATAAGATTTACAAAGAAAACTTGCTTTGTTATAAGTAATTGGTATATTTCTGTAGCGTGCAAATGCTTTCACTGTTTGAGTTGGGCTATTCTAGTTTTGAGCTTTCTTTGCGTTTTTCTTCTATGTAAAATTGTTGGAAATTTCATTTGTATATTACGACTTTTTTATATATTGTTTCTATTTTGCATCTGCATTGCAGTTAGTGATGATATATGCTTGGCCAACCGCATAATCATAATAATAAAATATGACCGTATGTTAAATTATGCCCCTATTTTTTGATGCAATCACCATAGAATTCATTTTAACAGCCAAAATGAAATATTACAGAGTAGTAATAGCATTAAAACTTTATAGTTGCTTTCAATTTTCTTTTGATGTTAAATTTATCGTTGTTCTCAAACTTCTAAAAATATTTTCTGAAGTCATGATGTAAGTTGACACTATTTTATGTCGCTCATTTTCTTTTGTCAAGAAACGTATGATACATGCAAAGTATAGGATACTTTAGAGGAATATGTGCATATATATCTATATAGATAAAATATATTATTTCTATTATCATATTATAAATGTTGCATATTTTATACACATCTCAAATGGCTAATCCATCAAATTTTAATATAAAGTTTTAGAGAAATACATTTTAAAAAATAGGTTTATTGTAAATACATTTTTTTTCATCTTATTAATTTATTATTATGTATGGATTAGAAAAGTAGTGCTACAAAATTTTTCACTATTATTATTTATTTTTTTTTTGTCTATTAAATATGTATTTGCGCCTGTCAACAATAAGTTGACAATCAGCAAATGTGATGGCGATAATGATAAACATGACAGGCATGGGGAAGGAAAGTACTCAGCAGTACCTCTTCCCTAACTTGTTCCAATTACTTAGGTTGTCTAAGGAAAGAGATCCCTCATCCAACGGCCACTAATATTTAATTTTAATTTTTTTATTTAGACATATAATATTCTTTCTCGTGGACAATGATTATAGAGATAAATGAACACATTCACACCATATATACAGAAAATATAAAATTCACTATTATTATTGATATTAATTATAGATACGAATTTATATACTTGTTATTTTAAGAAAAATCAATTGCTTCGTTGAATATGTTCTAGGAAACGATAAAATAAAAACAGGATAGGATCCAAAGAACTTAGAACAAAGATACTATCCAAAGGTTGAAACTGGGTAAAGCTAAAACAGAGAAAACCTTTGTGCTTCCAACCAGAAGTCCAACAATTGGTTTCCCTTTAGTAACAAGTACCACCATATGTGTTGTTGAAAGTTCTTTGCTTTTTAAATAAGAAAGTCAGATATTCCCAAGAATTATATTGTCCTTTAAATTAGAGAGATTTTTAAACATAAATATTTATTTAAAATATGTTAATTTTTTTTTTGTATTGAAAATTATCAAATCTTTTCGTTCAGTTTCTAGTAAATACTACGATTAAATTAATTACTAGACTTAATAAAACTATCCACCATGAATATCAGTTACGTTGGGAGAGATTCGCTGGATTTCCTGGAGTCCTACGTTTTTCTCTTGGTTCTGAGTTTTCCTGGACGATTGTATATAAATTTTCGTATTTTTAAGGTGTCGTTTCCTATTAATTAACTAAAAATGTATATTTCTTTATATATATATATATATATATATATGCTATTGCATTGTTATTTTGCTGTTCTATATATTTTTAATTTCTGTAAATGTCGTGTGGATGGACTTTTTATCAATACTACTAATATTCTTATTTGTGGGATAATGTGTAACTAAATAAAAAACAAGAGAAAAAAATTAAAACTAATCTCGTCAGACAATAGCTATGTAATAAAAATTATTATATATCAAAGTAATGTTTATCTTCTAAGTCGTAAAAATGGATTTTTATAGGCGTATGTCTGATACATACGTCAAAAATTTTAAAAAAATATATATACATATAAATATTTTTATATTTTTACTTTTTATTATATTTTTCATACAAATCCATTGAAAGGATTTAAATCATTTCGATCTAAAACACTCCGACCTATAAAAAAATTAACTTGAAAAATTTATTATTTTTTCATAAGTTCATATTTGTTTCTGTGAATGATCTGAACCAAACACTAATTTCACCTTTAACATTTATAATATGATACCTTTTAGTTTAAGCTAATGCGTTTGTCAAAAAAAAAATATTAAGCTTTACCAATAAAAGCAGTATTGTTCCAGTGATTACATATATTAAAAAGAAAAAGTAATTCCTCTAAATAAAATCCTGAATACGTTACATTATATACACAAACCAATAATTGATACATAAGATTCATCAGTAAATAACGATCTCTTTATATCCAATATTTTTCAATAATTTAAAGCAGTCTGAATTGAAACTAGAACATTATTTTTGTTTTGTTTTTACTTATATATTATTTATTTTTAAATCAACTTCGTGAGCTATAAATAGATGTTTTAACAATAAATAACATTTTTAGCAGTTATGGGTTATTGTATATAAAAGAAAACAAATCCTATAAAAACACCTTAATTTGGGTTTTGGTACTTCAATGTGCCATCGTAGCCGATCCTTTGAATTCTAAATCTACTGTAAAATCCTTAACTCTCATACCTTTTTCACAAATAAAACCAGCTATGGTGAGCATAATGTCCCGTGTATTGCAAATTTGGCCCAAATGTGATACCCATCAAAATTCGACTCCGTACCAAACCAAAATCTTTCAGTTTCTAATATCGTTTGTGAATCGATAAAATTTGTTAAGATTTCATTTTTTCATTATTTATCTTAAAATATACTACATAGAAATTCCACGTTGTAGAAATATACGTAGCACAAATGAATCGAGACCTATATGAATATTTCTGCCTCAATAGAACATTATTGTCAAGGACATTTAAGGCTGATATAATGAGAGACTACGTTAAAATAATTATTTAAAACAGGTGATTTGAATAATTACAAATGGACAGATCGTTCGATACATATGAATATTGAAGAGGGATGACATAAGTGAATTATAAACCTCAAACCAGAAGCGAAGTAACGTATCGGCTAGACTGTGCTATCGCGAATTCCAATTGATTATAAATTCCTCGTTCATTAAATTTTATTTTATAATAAAATCTTTGAGGAGTAAGAGCTAAATTGGTCAAAAGAGTCTTGATAAGATTTCTCAAGGATATGTTTCAAATCTTTTTGGATGAGTCTTTGGGGTGATAAGCTATTTGAATCGTGTGTCGAAAATATTATTGAATAGTTGGAAGTATCATTTTGTTTTCTTACAATAAAAAAAATCAAGTTGAAAGAGTAAAGTTTGCATTTTATTTTATTTTTTATTAACTTTGCCACTGCGTTGTAACGCATCAAGCAAATGTGTTGGCGTTTATTCTGTTTTCTCGCATTCTTGATACTTGCTTTAATTGTCAGCAGATCTCTAGGCCACTGCTTTTTAGTCGTCGTAGAGGCTCACCAGGTAACAGGGAGGAAGAAAGAGATAGAACGAGTGGATTTGGATCATTGAGAGTAGAAGAATGAAATGTTGTGTACTTGTTGTGTGTTTAGGATTTTACTTTTGGGATGTTAATGTCTGCATGTATTGTGTGATTTGAAATAAACCAAGGAGCATTGACAATTTTACGAAGTATTTTGGATTGTGTGGTTTGAATTTTGTTTATGTGTGTATGTTTTGCGGAACCTCAAAGTTCTGCTCCGTATGTCCAAATAAAGTATATTTGGAAATATACTATAAAGTCTTAGTATGGTGGTTTCATTTTTCTCGAAGGCGAGTGAGATAGCGATACGATGACACTGTTGTACATTGGACTGGTAAGAACGAAAGCCAAATTGATGATTCGGAATAACTTCCCGACTTTCTAGGATTGGCTTTATCCTAAGAAGAAATAATTTCTTAATATTTAGTATTTAATACAAATATTTCTGACATTCTGGCTCAGTTAATATTCATTCTAATATAAAGCGTAACGATATTACAATATTTTTTCAACTATTACATCTACAGATAGAACGTAACCGTTTTAAACATAACTTGGGGCTTATTCGTCACTTTTTTAAGCCTGAAATTTATTTTTATTTTTTTAATTATAAATCAAATGATCAAAAATCTATGTCATAAATTAAAATTACATGTATTTTTGTTTAAGACATAAAAATACTATTCTTTGTTCAACTACTTTTCTTCTACTATTTTCTGAAAAACCCTCCGAGGCGTCTGAAAAGAAGATGGCCTCGGGATCTTCTAATATAGAACTTTAATTTGAGTTCTACCAATGGGTAGTTTCTCTTCATGTTGTACATGCCATGTTACAAATTTCTCATTTACTTATTGTATTCACTATGTAATATAGTTGTAAATTCCATTAAAATAATAAAAAAAAAAAATTCTGAAAAAAACAATATTAAAAAAATCATGGAATTGTCCGGTTTCGCGACCACCCCTCTTTTTGACTTGAGCCTAGTAATTTTCAGCCCTTAGCCTAAGAACAGTGGCATGGAATACTGAAGAATATAATGAGAATATTATTGAACTCGATAGCAGCCTTTCGTCCAGTTTAGATATGGATCTAATGGCATCAATGAACTCAGCGCTTAGTTTTAGAAACATGCTCAATCAAAATTCAAAATGAATCTCAAATTATTTGTGGCCTTCATCATGCATTCTCCTAGGACCAGTCGGTTGATTGCGGATTCTAAACATTACATCTGCTAATAATAAAAATTGCAATTGTAATGATAGTATGATAGGTACCATAAATACCATAAATGGTGTAAATATTCTTTTTTTTTTTTTAACAAACTACGCAGAACATTAATATAACCTCTTTTTTCATTTTATCGAACGCCGTGAATTATTATTCTGAATGAAAATATATTTACTTCAACAATTTGCTCTTCAAAAAAAAAAAAAATTAAATTCAGTATGAGCCAACTAAACATCCCAGGAAGGAACTTTGCATCTATTATAAAAAGATGAGGGAAGCCAGTATACATAGCTATAGTTAAAATAACGATATCACGGCAGTTACAAGACAACTTCCAGATACATACAATCGTAATTAATAGCTAAAAGAAGTAATCAATATATAGAATGTTGAACTTAATAATCTCACAAATTTGCTCTCCTACGAGTCCCTCCCTGACTTACAGGCTAGCGAATATTCCACTCGAAGACTCCCATTCACTGGTTCCCTCTACAACAATAGCATCCCTTGCTACCCTTACACTACTGCTTCGGTCCCTGGTTCCCCAAATACTGATGCCACTGATGCCACTGATTCCACTGATACTGATGCCAGCAACACATCCACCGCTGATGGTCCGGTGAGTCGGATAATCGAATGAGTGGATACTGATCAGTCATCAGTAACAAGTTTGCTGTCGAAACTTAGCCTTCCCTTCGGTCTCCGTTGAGAACTGATACAAGTTAGTTTACACGGCCATACTGTCTCGTAATATTTTCTTATTTCTGTTAATTTTACTTTTTTTTAAAATGGATCGATATAAATAGTATTATATTAAAAAAATCTAATTTTTTATTTATATGATTCTTTATTTAAAAAATGAAGTGCTTCTTGTCACTGAATGTAAGATTTATTTTATAGGGTTGTCGAGAAATAAATATTAACCAACCCAGATGAGAAGTGAACCCACAACGTTTAGAATCTGAACCTCTGGGAACTGAGGCATTCTGTCACAATAAGAACAATGATTATAGTGAGAAAAGAGTTCATTTACAAAATGTTTATAAAAAGATCCAAATGATAAATAAATAGTAATATTGAAAAATAAATACAAATAATAAATCAATAAAAATTAATATAAAATAATCAATAAAACAAAGACATAACTATTTCCGAAACAGACTTGTCCCTCCATCTGGAGATGGAAAACCAAAATTCCAACAGAACCCTGTGTTACTCTCTCAACCGCGTTACTAATGCTAAAGGCAAGTGAACTTTGAGTGAGAGCACTGTAGTTTAAACTAATAAAAATATTTGATAAAAAGTACCAAAATATAAAAAGTAAACATCATTGTTAATAAATATTGTTTTTTTTTTAAATGTTATTCCTTTAAAATATTCTAATGGTGTAATAGTGTAATAAATAATTTTACTTTATAGTATCAAATAATGCCTCTAAGTTCATTCTGTGTGTCCTTTCGTTTCTCGATTAACGATTTTTTCATTTCAAAGAGCTACATCACTCATCCTGTATCAGATTATGCTGAACTGTAGATCGCGTGATAGCTCCATTTGGGCCGCTAACAACTTGAGCATTTAGTCGATTAAGATTAACGATTTTCATAAGTACGGCTTATTTTGTCTAATAATCAAATTATACAAACCGCCGATCTACATGATAATATAATCTTAGAAAAGGTCACGGTTTCATTTCCGCTCATGTATTTGTTTTCTTTTTTTTTTAATAATTTTTGAAAAAACAACAAATCTATTTGACTATATTGCCAATAGTCACCAATAGAAAAGTATTATCGATTCGATTGTACTTTTTTTATTACATGCTCATGTTGAATATATTAACTCTGTGAAAATATATATTTAAAAATCTATATGACATATTAAAATGTATGTCGAGGAGTTATCTTCTCCTATCGTAGCATTGCACATAGGACCACTGTGTGTGCTCACCCATTCTGTCCGGGTCAAACAGCAATTGCTCAGTTCATCCCTGCCTGTTCCAGATCTGTCAACACATATCTATGATAGGAACGCTGGGATTTGTCAGGGACATCATCGCGATCTGGGTTTACCTTTAGTTTCTATTCTACTTGGTATAATTTAGTGTATTTTTAATATACCCTTTAATATATTAAAGGAGACAGACTCCTTTCAAACAAATTCTTAACATCCGTCAAAAACAATCATTAGTTTTGGGAGGACTTTGGATAGTAAAAAATAGATTTAATGTTGTTAGGAAATTTTCCTGTCCCTTACTGCTTCAGATCTTAGGTTCACATAGGTTTCAGGATTGTCTTGTAGACAAGAAATTTGTTTTCAATAGTAAGTGGTGATTTCATATTGAGTAGTGTCTACAGCTGAACAAAAATGTGGTCAAGCTGTTTTTTTTTTTAAATCTGGTATGAGAGTTCCGTGTTAGCCGAGATACAGGACTGTATCTGAAAATGGAAGCTGGGAGGAGTTAAAATAAACTAATTCCCTTTAATGATCTACTTGTTGTACCAATGTTTAGTTTGAGAGAGGTGCCTTTGTAGATTTAAGTATGTTGTTTCGGGATCCAAGTTGCATGAAAGAATGGTACAGGGATGGACCGGTATATCAGCAGCGAAGAGGGTGTAAAGGACAGGATCTCAAACACACGGAATTAAGTTTAAAATTAACTCAATTTTTTATTATTTATGCTTTGATTTTATATCTGTAATTCATATTTCTGGACAGATAAGCTTATTATTAACGAAACATATGTTTGTTAATCGAATCCGATGATACTAAATGTTATTTAAGTTGTTTATAACCTATTCAGCACAAGGATATTGTCATTTCCATTGGGTAATTATAAATAAACAATTGGCACACACCCCGCTGCTTGATTAACACAACAGAAGACCGCCCTTGAAACTTGAAATTAAAGTTGCAAGGAATTAATATGGATTAACGGATGGCTGGCAAGTTGATTAGAGCATTTACCAACTGGGTCGCAAGCTATTATTATTATTAATAAGGTTTGGGTTCTGTCCTTTGTAGCTTCCAGCCGCTCTGATCCTTTGTCCTAACCCCCTGGAAGGATAGAGGTCACATCGGAGGTTCATCCTCATTACCGAGTACATAGGATCTTTGGGATTGGGCCTTGTTTTGTCATCCAATGACTACGCAACAACTCTTAACCTTTATGCAAATGTTATTTATTTTTTATAATGTGGACAGATATCTATGTCGATTATTCGACACCGTTTTTAGAAAAAGGTTCAAGCACCACTCAGTAAACTATACTAGATCAGAAATGATATTTTTTAATTTCATTAGCTCTTTTTTAGAAAAAAGATATTTTTAAAGCATATAACATTTTTTAGCACTTTTCTTCATGATGTTTCCTACAAGATCAATTTCCATCACATCGATTATCCAGACAGTGGCTCTCTGGAAATTCTTGAGCAACTCTTTCTGGTATAATATTATCAATCTCTTCATCAGAATCCTAAGAAGCCTTAACTTCCACCTTGTATTAGATAGCACCCTGTATTTTCTCTTTTATGTGACATTGTGTGAGGGAATGAGAAGGAATATATAGGAATGTGAAGTTTCACGATGAATTGTACTCAAATTGTTCATTGAAAAGTGAAAGTCGATCGAAAAACAATCGATGAAGAAGGAAAAAGGTCCGGTCAGGTAGCAGCAGCTGGAGAAGGACGCAGAAGAGAGGAGAAGGCACTTGAAGCTGAGACAGGAAGGCGAAAAGACGTTACCTTAGAAGAGAAGCCTACTACACTGAAGACTAAATATATCAAGCCTACAGTTATAAGACTTTAATAGATTCATTTATTAAAGTTGTAAAAATAAATTGTTTAATTATACGGAAGTGAAAAGTCATTTTATTTAGTTGTAGTATATGCCTCATAATTGAAGAATAACAAACCAGGTGAGTCAATTCATTCAAAGTGTATTTACTAAGTCCCATATTTCATATATATAATCTTATTGTTTCTTGTCACTCAGTGTCGCAAAGGTATTAGATTTCCGAATTCCCAACGACAGTTAAACACCCTAGAAAAGCCTATATTCAGTGAAGGTTGTGTTTTAATATTCACGAGTGTAAATAACCTAGTTCCTCGATAAAAGCGGAAGGCTATTCGCAATTCCCGCCAAAAACAAACCATTATTTACAATGAACTTTTAATAGGTTATTTACAACCTTATCTTTACAGTCGTTGGCTTTCCAACCAACTTGTTCTTATTGCTCCAACTAGGTCTAAAGTTTAGGAATTTTCTTAGGTTCTATGTATTTTTTTTACTGTAAAAACGATTGAATTGGGATAAGTACCAGGAAAATGATAAGGACGAGTCACAAAATTATATAAAACAGAATGAATAAACGCATGATAGGGTTTACCATAACCCCGAATCACGTTCAAGCCCTTCCACTAAATGCAAAGAGCTCTGGAAGCGCATTTAGAGAGGCGGAAAGCACGGGTGAAATTCCTGAAACGGAAGTAGAACATCAAAGAAATTGGATAATCCCACACTCCACGGTGCCATTAGAGGGTTAATGATAATTGAGGACCATATTCTTGAACCTTAAATCTTCAGTTGGGTCATGGATCAACTATTGATACAATAGTTAATACATACAACAATACATACAATACATAATCAACCGTAAAGATACTATCGAAGAACTCAGACATTTTATTAGAAATTGTGAATTATTTATTTGCGGCAAATGAAACGTGTATTTATTAAAGAAATAAAAAATATAAATATTTTGTAATGTAATCATATCGTACAAAAATAAAAAAATCCGAGGAAGATCAATTACTACAGGCTTATAAATAAAATCTTTAACCACCTCGAAATAAATATTGATGACGGCGAATACTGAAAAAAAGAGGTCATTTATCTGGGAGTTGTAAATAAATATGCATGATTATTTATACAGCAAGAAAATGAAGGTTTGTTATTCCAAAGGCTGTTTCTCGATCGGTATTTTAGCTATAGGGTTTTTGTCCTAAAATAATACATTTGAATTTTCCCTTAATGCATTGATGCATCTCTTTAAATATTACGTGTTATTTTTTTCATTTATTTTAGATAATTACGAATATAATATTGTATAGAATATTAGAAAATTGAAATGTGCAAATTGTTAGTTGAATATTATTTCTCTTAACAATATCTGATCCAGGGCATTCTCTTATCACCTTAATTATACATTAAATTTCTATTGAAATGAGGGTAACTATATAATTATTTAAATTTATCTAATTTAATTAAAAGTTGTTAAACTAAAATTAAATTAAAAGTTGCTCACAAGGTCCGAATTTTTATGAAATTGGATATTTTATTTAAACTGGTAATCAAATATCTATACTAATCAGTGTACCAAGATGCAATGAGTCAAATTTTATGTCACATATTTGATGATAATGCATACAATTTCATATTTTGATAATTGCAAATAAAAAATAATAATAATAAATAGAAACATTTCACTCACATAATGTATGCAGGTGCTATTTTTGGTTTCTGAAATATTTTAATCCATATCTTCAGTAAAACTTGTTATCAATTGGTTATCGGCACTATTTTTTTTTCCTTTTCGCCTTCCTAGCACGGCGTCGCATTAAGATACAATTTTTTATAATAGCTCATTATTATTTTATTTACTGTACATAGAGTGTGAATGTGATCTGTGAACACTATTATAAATGTTCTTGAGACAAATTGTAATATTTTTCAATAAATAAGATTAAAATCGATTAAAGCGAATCGTATTCTCCACTTTTGTTTTTCTTGCTAAATTAAATAAAGTCGATACAAATATTTTGCTAGGTGTCAATACCTGAAGAGTGGTAGGTCTGTAGATCGATACGGGACAAATTGGATCTGGAAGATTTTGATGCGTACAGCAAGACCTGGATAGTTCCTCCGGAACTATCGGATCCTGCGCTTTTAAGCCCAAAAACGTACTATTTTCGAGATAACGCAAGGCATAGGGTTCACATCCACACAACCTTCCATTAATTGTAGTACTGTGATTGAATACATGTCTCATTTCGTCGACTTGAGGTCTCTATGATCGAGAGGAGTTTATATTATTTAACGATGGTGTTTTTGATCGGCAAGCCATATCATCGTCAATTTTTCACCAAATTTCAAGATTGAGCCACCAATTTCGAACGCTTCCTTCTCCTTCAGGCGGACAAAGTAGTCACATCACTCCAAAAATTCAGGCAAACAAGTTATAAAAAAAAACAAACTTTATTTGCGAATAACTAAAAAATTACACACTTTTCTCTTGGTTATGCCCGTGATTTTATAAAAGTTTACTAAATTTCATACACAATGAAAAAAAAATCATTGAAATCGGACAATTTTTAGCAAAGATACAGCTTACTGAAATTCATAAACATGTTGCTTCCAAACAAATATGAAGATTTAAATTAATTTTTTTTTTTTTGTCGATTATATTTATCGATAAAGCAACATTTGATTTCTTTATCTTTTGATGCGTTGCATTATTTTATTCTCTTATTAATATGGCATTTGATAACGATATGCTGTGTGAATTTTTCTCAAGCCTATCTCAACACCACTATATGCACATTCCTTTCGAAATGGCGGCTGAAAAACCAGTGTTATTATAGACTCTATCGCCTAAAAACCAATTTCATTGAAACTTAGCTAAGGTCTTCTTCTCGATGCCCTTTCAACATATCTATAGAACATACCTACTACACCAAAAAGTAGTCCTCTTTCAAAATGGCGGCCGAAACACCTGTGTCGTATAGCCTATAGCGCCTGATCCATGTGCCTATTTCAATAAAACTTGGCTAAAGCCTTCTCTTTTGAAATCATTAAAATTGATCTATATAACATACTTCAACGAAGCTGGAAACAAAGTTACCAGTGATGCTAACATTAGATTTTCCGAATAACTCAAAAAGAATACACGTTTTGTTGGCGTTCTTATGATTTTCACCAAATTTCCTAAAATAGAAAAAAAAAGTCGTTGATACCGGACAATTAGGTGCAATGATGCGGCGTTTTAAATATTTTTTATATATCCTATAGCTTTTATTATTTGTTTTTGATATAAATTTTTTTTAAAAAAGTTACATCAACTGATGCAATATTTTCCATTTTTTAAACTGTTAAATATTGAAATATTTAAATGAAATGGTTTTAATTTTAATATTCAGTATTCATATGATATGCCCTTAGTTTATAAATTTCATATTAAAACTTAGGAAAAATAAATAGTCAGAATCTCAAAAATGTATATATATATATATATATTTTGAGATTCTGACTATTTATTGACTATTTATATACATAAATAATTTGAAAAACAGTGTTGAGTCCTATAAGATTATTTCTAATTATTCATAACATTCCTTCGCCTGGTGATCTTTGCCAAATTGACGTCAAAATGACGAAAGAACAGACATTTCTTTGAGTCATGAGCTGCCTACGTTGCAGCTATTTTAAAAGCTAATAATATCACAATGTTTGACGTCTTATTCCATTTGATTTTTTCAAAAGAATTTATCCATCCGATAAAAATGTGTTTATTTTTCTTTAGCAATACTCGTGGACTCAAAGGATAAGATAATGTTAATTATTTACTATAAATCCATTACGATTTTATTGATACAAATATATCATATTAAAAACAAATTACTAATGACTAATAATAAATTAAGATACTTTTTTTTGTTATCATTGTATATAGCAAAGCGATGTATTCAGTCATTGGCTAGATTGAAACGATTATAACAATCATTGAATAATTATTTTGATTTTATTATAAATTTATCTTGCTACGGATACGTTATTTGTTGACTAAATCATTGTTTCTCGAATTGTGGTGCGTGTTTAATCCAACTTAAATCCTCAACTTTTGTATTTGCTGTCACTTAACTAATAATTAGTATAACAAGGTCAAAAATAAACAGTCATGGTAGAGTTTTTTTTTAGTTTATGAAATGCTGGATGGAAGTAGGTGTTCAGTATTAATATTTTTTTTCAGCTTATTTTTCAGAAAATACAGTACATTCATGTTTAAATTTTTTTTTTCTTATCTAATGTAATTGGTGTAATTGGTGTAATT